CGTGTCAAACACGAAACAATTAGCTCTGGGGTTTAATAAAGGGATCGAAATGCCAGAATCCAAAGTAAAATACAGAACAGAAAGACTCTCAATAGAGACGAAGCACTGTATTAATCGTCTTTCCAGGTAAAGTCTCCCAGACGCGGAAATTCGGGGCACTCGTCACACTCCTCACACATGACCTTTACTACCCTGACTGGCTCCCCTGATTCCGTCGCCAACAGCTTGTCCCAGACGGACTGCTTCTGCTGTTGGCACGACTTTGCCGCGTGGGGGAGCTTCTGGCCAGGGTAGCCTGGAGCGGGTCCACGCAACAACACAACGCGCCGCAGCGCCACCAGCCCGCACTGACGCAGCCCCTCGGCCAGGTCCTTGAAGTGCCACAGGTCTTTTCCCTCCGAGGCGCACGTGATCCGCAGCTCCTGCAGTGTGGCGGCGTGGGTCTTGGCCAGGGACAGGACGGTGGAGGCCGGCTGGAGGTACACACTGAGCCACTGCAGGCCGCAGTGACCCGCGGGCAGAGGGGGGAAGGCCACGTCGAGCGCATGCTCGTGCCACAACAAGACGAGTTTCCGCAGCCTGGGCATCCGCTGCACCGACTGGAGATGTTGCACTGAGACGTTCAGCAGATGCAGTTCCTGTAGTTGAAGCGGCAGGGCTGGGGCGTTCTCGACACTCGTCTCCAGGTGGACGAGTAAGCAGCGCAGCGCTGGCATGTCCCTGATCATATCTAGGTGTTCCCGGACGGCCCACATAATCGACAGCCACTCGAGATTCGGGGCAACGCGCTTGAGCAGCACTGTACTCCAGTTCGGCCGCTTCCTGCAGTCCAGTCCTCTCAGCTTCCTCACCTGAAACACGCAAGCGCACTCCGCGTTACCACCTATCACACGCTGAACGTTTATGGCCACATTTTGAACGGATAACAGATTTAAGGGGGGACCCTGGTGAAACTTTCAAGTAGGCTTCAAAATAATCCCATAAAGTTGAAACTTTGCTTAATTATGAGCAAAATCAACTAAGACGGACCAGTTCTTCCGGCGACCATCTCCGATTTGCCTGATTTTTTGTAGGCTTAATAACTAACTAAAGGAGAGTCTTAAGCCAAAATATTAGGTCCGGCAAAAATTTATTGCCCGAGATATGGCCAACTTTAGTTTAACTTTTGGAGAAAAAACACGGATTTGGGTATTTTGGACTAATTTTACACTTTTCATAGTAGAGGGCTAAAATTTGGTCACTCTTTGTAAAATTGGCCAAGGAACAAGAATATGACCTCAGATTTGACCTCCGACGAATACCTGAAGAGTAAACCCCCCCAAAACCCCCTAAAAACACCTAAAAAAACAGTTTTTTCTTGGGGTTTCTGGGAAAAATATGTGGACAAAAATTGCTGATGATCTTTTCTTATAGAAAATGACGCGATGAATCGAATGAGACCACGCGCAGATTTTTATGTCAAACCGTTTAGGAGATATAGCGGTTCAAAGCATGCAAATTTTGCCATTTATTTTTTAAAAAATGTAGGTTTTGAGCATTGTTTGACGTTCTCTGCCTTCTTGGTGTGTGTGGGTGATCTTATCTTGTGGAAAAAGACGCGCTGAATCGAATGAGACCACGCACAGAGTTGTATCTCAAACCGTTTAAGAGATATAGGGGTTTTTAAAAGTATGGGCACGGGAGAGCTCCTACAAACACCCGACAAGGCAGGCCCCCCAAAAACACGCCTGTTGGGAGGGCGGAATACCGTGCCCATACTTTGTACCGCTATATCTCCTAAACGGTTTGAGATACAACTCTGTGCGTGGTCTCATTCGTTCAGCGCGTTTTTTTTCCACAAGAAAAGATCACCCACACACCAAGGAGGCAGAGAACGTCAAACAATGCTCAAAACCTACATTTTTTAAAAAATAAATGGCAAAATTTGCATGCTTTGAACCGCTATATCTCCTAAACGGTTTGACATAAAAATCTGCGCGTGGACTCATTCGATTCATCGCGTCATTTTCTATAAGATGAGGTCATCAGAAATTTTTGTCCACATATTTTTCCCAGAAACCCCAAGAAAAAACTGTTTTTTTAGGTGTTTTTAGGGGGTTTTGGGGGGGTTTACTCTTCAGGTATTCTTCGGAGGTCAAATCTGAGGTCATATTCTTGTTCCTTGGCCAATTTTACATAAAGTGACCAAATTTTAGACCTCTACTATGAAAAGTGTAAAATTGGTCCAAAATACCCAAATTCGTGTTTTTTCTCCAAAAGTTAAACTAAAATTGGCCATATCTCAGGCAATAAAAATTTTTTTCGGACCTAATATTTTGGCTTTAGACTCTCCTTTAGTTAGTTATTAAGCCTACAAAAAATCCGGCAAATCGGAGAGGGTCGCCGGAAGAACTGGTCCGTCTTAGTTGATTTTCTATTAGGTTCATTATGGTGAGTTCCCAAAACAAAATTCAATCCAAAATGTTGAACGGTCTCTGAGAAAAGTGGCTTTTTAGTGTTTTTTTGAGCGTTGGGGAAAAATCCTCCTGCGTCTTTCATTGGGACGGAAAGTCTTGAAAAATTTTTTGGGTTATCCTAAAGATGTATAGAAGAGATTTTAGTGACGGAATTTTCAAATTCAACTTCTGTCCTGAGATATGAGTTTTCAAATTTCAACATTTAAAAAAAAGTAATTTTTTTTCTCTTTTTTCAAACTTTTAGGTGTGTTTAAAAAAAAGTAGGGCTGATATCAAGATTCCGTCACTAAAATTTGTCGACAAGTCGTCAATGAATAGAGTCCATGCTAGACGACTCATGTAGGTGTCAACCAAGAACGCAGGAAGTCTTTCTACGACAAAATTTTTTGTCAACTGAGCAAAGCTGTGAAGTTGAGCGTAGAAGCCAACGACAACTGATCTCAATGTTATTTCCTTCCAAATGATAAAGAAACTACCCACTTAGCTTAAAGGTGTTCAACCTGTTGGATTTGAAACCTTCTATGCACATTTTTATCTATGAACTTTGAAAATACTATTTTTTGGAATTTTGGCGATTTTTTCACCAGGGTTTTTCAACGGGAGATGAAACTTCTCGCACAAAATTGTCAACGGTTTTTGACAAAACTAAAATGAAAGTGCAGTTTTTTCGGACGAAAGTCGTCCGAAACGTTCGCAGCTAACGTAAGAAGCCCTGTGAAACCATGTTGTCACTTTATGACAAACGTGGATGATATTTTCATCACTTTAAAATGATTCTCATCACAAATTGATGACATTTTCATGAAAGCTCCTACACCAACGGGAAATCTCCGTGAATTTCGGTGTACAAATCCAATGAATTTCAGTCAAATTTCGAGGAATTTCAGTCGAATTTGGATGAATTTCTGTAAAGTTTTGATGGATTTGAGTCGAATTTCGATGAATTTTAGTCAAATTTCGATGAATTTCAGTGAATTTTACATGTTTAAAAATGAATTTTGGTGTACAAATTTGGCAGAAGTTATTTCTCCTTGTCCTACAAATATCGCATAGGCGTGACAACAGTGTCATGAATTGATTTGATAACATTCGTTGTAAGGAAAAATTAGCCTTGATATTGTCAAGTGGCCACTCAAATTTTCACAGAGAGCAATGAACAAAAATATAAGTAATACCAAGTAAAATTGATATTGAGGTAGGCAGACTCGTTCTTTAACATGCTTCATCATCAACATTTAGGTGTCATGACGGTGCAGTGCACGTACTGATCAGGAATGGGAAATTAAGATAAATACTCTAGGACCCTCGAATGCAAGCTGCGTAGGGTAAGGTGCCCAGTGATGGCCACTTTTAGCGCACTCACTGTTAAAAAATGGTTGTATAGAAACAATCAGATGAGTGAAAATTTAGTCGTTCCAAAACAAAGAATTTTATCATGAACCAAAGCGAAAGAAATGTCGTTGAGTCTTGTAAGCGACAATTTGTCGTTGAAGAACAAAATTCTTGTTATCACCCTTAACGATACTATTTGTATGGAAACAAAATCTTTTGCAATTATCTGCTCAAAAGCATATTATGAATAATTATATATTGGTCTTCTTTAGTCATAGCAACATTACTATTATTAAAAAAGAATAAGCAAAATAAATTTAGCAACAAAAGTACTCCATGAATACTTATCTCAGACATTACAAAATCTTTTTCGACTTACGAGACTTGTCGTTGACCAACAACGAATGTTGTTGGTCAACGACTTGTATTTGAAAGTAGACTGCTAATGTGTTAAGGCCAGGGACAGGTGAAAAAATGATCTCTGAAACTGCTGGTCCAAACCTTCTTATTTTCTGTCAAAATCTTACTCCTAATGAAAAACTATTTCACCCAAAATCCCATCCCATAATATCAAGCGGTTCCTGAGATACAGGCTTTTTTATAATTTTGTAAGTGTTTGTTAAAAAATTCCTGTGCGTTTCCCATTTTGGTTTATTGACCTGACCGACATATTTTTTTGTTCGTCTAAGTCCAAAGAACAAACGCAAGTGACAAATTTTAGTTTCCGGCACTGATAGCAAAATACCAAATTTTCAACTTCGACATTTTTCAAAAACCAAAGATTTTCCCTTTTTTTTGTAAAAACCAATATCCAAAACTATACTTCTGGGTGGAATATACAAAAACTGTCACTTGCGTTTCCTCGCAATAACCTACTGAGCCAGTGGAAAAAATATCATTGACGACACTTCAAACTGTATGCGCACAGGACCATTCAAATGTTGAAAAAATGTCTTCGGAGAAAAGGGCGTTTAAAGTTTGGTGACAGAATTTGATGGATTTTCAGCCAAAAAAATCTTCTTGCGCATACTATTTTGTCGTAAAAGGTTGACCTGGATATTTTTCACTTCTTCGATTCATTTTTAAAAGATACCAGCATGCACAACTGAAAATGTCCATTACATTATCATTGGCAAGCTTCTAAAGCATGCATTTCACTTAAATTGATCAACAATGTACAAAATAGACAAATTTTAGTGAGTTCTTACATAAAAAAAGCATGTGATTACTAATATGATGGAAATTTTGAACTAGGCATGCTGGAATCTTCTTAAAATGAATCGAAGAAGTGCAAAATGTGAAGATGAGCCTTTTACGTCAAAATAGTATGCGCAAGAGGATTTTTTAAGATACGGCTAAATAAAGCCAAAACAGTCCAAACAAGACAATGCGACTGGGTTCAAGACCTGGCATATGCCTTCAAAAATCAAATCTTAGTCTCTTCATGAGCTCATGGTCTCTTTGAAGTATGATTTCATATTCCCAACAAATTATGACAGTGGGGTTCATTTTGAAAATGGCAAGATTTTCACCAGAACCTCCCCTTGATGGCAAAACGGACAATTTTACTAAAATGTCAGAAATGCAGAAGTGTGCGAAAAGATGTATTTTAAGCACTTCCAGGTCCCGGATAGTCGAAGTCCCGACAGATCCTGAAAGAGGAAGGTCCAAAGGACCATTTTCCACCCAGAACTCATTTCATTCAATTTCACCAAACTTCTTCATTTTTTCACCTGTCCCTGGCCTTAATACAAGTTAGTCGTTGTGAAATTATCCTTTAGTTCCAGTGCGAGTTTGGTTTAACAAGCTATTCGTTCCACAACAAATCTTGTCGCTAAAAAAATTAGCGATAAATGTGTTGCTAAGTTACGACAAAATTTTTGTCAGTGCTGATGCGCCTTCAACCCCTTTACTAAGTGTCCCGCACGTCGTACCGGTATGAAAATGTCCAGGAACATACAAGAAGGATAGAATAAGGGTTCCCAAGGTTAGAAACCAGCAAAATAAAGTTTATTCTTTGAGAAAAAATTAACCAAAATATCAGTATTGTTTGCCCAGTGATGGCCACCTTTTGCCCCGTGATAGCCAAGGTCCCGCACACTAAACTTCTTACGGATACATCCTATCTGTATTACGGACATTTTTGTGCAATTGCAATTACGGATAGATTTTGCTTGTAATACGGACGAAATCATCCGTATTACAAAGAGTTTTACGTCCGTACCATACGGATATTTTCGTGTGTGTTACGGACACGAAAACCTTTGTATTACGGATAAAATCATCCGTATTACAACCAAAATCCATCCGTGATTACGCTTGCACAAAACCGTCCGTATTGCGGATACATGGTGTCCGTAAGGAGTCTTGAGTGCGGCCCAGTGATGGCCACACTAGGGTTTGAGCGCTTTGGTTTTCGTTTTGGACAGTTATTGAACCCAATTTCGGCTGGTTTGCACCGTGTTCGAAGCTACAGGGGTCGCTGTGTCTTAGGAAACGGAAATCAGTGTAACCCTGGGAACTGGAATCTACTTGTGTGTATACCATAAATATAGAATTAAAGTTAAAATTTCAAGTTTGCGATAGAAAAGATTTGGTTTTCGAAATGATTTGACCTCGAGAAGGTGAACACATAATGTTAAGCATGTTATAGGTACAGACTTCAAATTCAAAGATTTATCGGTGTCCAAAGGGGAAAAAGGTACAAAATGCATCTTTTTCCCTCTTTCAAGGCCGATAACTTCTGAAAATCAAGCCTGAACCTAAAACATGCTTAACAATTTTCGTTCATCTTGTTGAGGTGAACACGTTTCTGAAATCGAATTATTTCTATCACATATTTAAAATTTGGACTAAACAAAACTTATTATACATACGGTGTCGAAACAGTTTCCATGGTACCGCGAATTCAGGTCCCCATGCCAGGTCAAAACCAAGATATTTCAGGCAACAAACTAGACGGACATGCACGGCGTCGCATCGCTCGTTGCAAAGTCAGCTTCAAAACACTAGTGTGGCCATCACTGGCTGTGCACTGTTTTGCCTGCCCAGTACTGGCCACCACCTCTTTTCCCTCAAATGTAACGAAATTTCAAAAAAACTTGCATGCTATGGTTAACTTGCCCTCTTCCGATTCTTCTGACGTGATGTTTCTCTTGCACGGACCTCGTACTCACAAATGACAAGCGACGCCGTCAAAGCCTGCGCTAATCTGGGCCGGTAAGGAAATCAACGTTCGACCGGCCGAGAACGCAGTTTTCAGCGCGCTGCGCCCGTGCGGCCGTCCACAACACTAAAAAGCTGAAATTTTTTCGGCGTAGTGTTGCCAATAGGTGACAGTACAAAACCTCAAAAGCTCAATGCTTTAACTAATCTCGCCTGGATGGAAAGTGAGCGCAAAGTGTTAAGTGGCCATCACTGGGCACGCTACACTATTTCCGTTCATTTATCGAGAAAGTGACTCACGGAGCCTACGAACGGACAGAACATTAATGAATGCCTCGAAACACATTATCCTCAGAAAGTTACTTGAAAAATTTGGAAGAGACCGTCTTGGTGAAGCGACTTTCAAATAGATTTGTCTCAAAATTTCACCAACGCACTTGGAAAAAAAAAAAAGAACGAGGTTTGTCGAATTGTGGTGATGAGAGCTTTCAGAATTATGCACAAAGAGTAGTGTGTTTGAGTTGCACTGAAAAAAGTTTTCGTAATTCTACGACAAATTTCGCAACGAATACTTCGTAAATCTGACGAAAACCTCGTAAGAATCAACATACAAACCTCTCGTAAAACACTTTTTAGTAATTGTTCGTAAAACTCTTAAAAAAACAGTCAAAAACAGCCAAAAAGCTGCGAAAATTTACGAGTTTTTCGTAAAATAACGAATTATTCACCGCTACATTTATCGTAAAATTACGAATATGTTCAGGGAAAATTTCTGTCATGAATAATTCATACGAAAAGTGACGAAACATTCGTAAAATTACGAAAAACTCGTACTATAACGAATATCTTGTAAAATTTTTACGAATTATTCGTAAAGTTAAATAAACGAAGCACTTGTCAATTCATTTTACGAAACACTCATAACATTCTACAAATTACTCGTAACATAACGAATCATTCATAAATTTGATGAAAAACTCATCGTTAAATTGTTCGTAAGATTACGAATTTACTCAGGGAAAATTTCTGTCCGAGTAATTCGTAATTTTACGACCATTTTTTTATCAGTGTGTACTTTTGATAATGAACCGTGACAGGCAGGAAACAGCAGTGGGCTCAACAATTGTTTAGTTGACATGACCAAAACAGCGATAATAGATTAAATAACGAGTAATATATCCTGTAACGTCGTACTTAATTGGACGTTGCGTGTAGAACAGGCCTCACTTTGTCTCAGGAGAATTGGACCAGCCGCGCATAGCTCCAAGGATAAGAAATGCAGAAGTGCATACGTAACCCTACCACTAGGAAGGAAATCGCCCTTACCTTGTGCAGACCTGAGTTCTGCAGGGCTTCGTCCAGCTTTTGGGTGTGCTCCTCTTGCTTGCTGAGTTTCTCTACATCCAAACACTCGTCGAGACGGTAGACCTGGAAGCAGTGAGCCAGTCGTCGGAAACAGACAGTACAAGGCTGGACACTGAAAGCACCTGAAAAGTGTCCATACATCATGGCCTACACTCTATAAAAAAATCTTAGAATTCAGACCAATTTTGAATGATCTAGTGGTCTGATTTCCGAATCAGGACCAGAAGTACGCAAAAGAAGAAATATACGCCATCTTCACTGAGAATGAAAGAGTCACCACCATCGCCCTTTCACGGGGTAACGCACGCACCGTTGCCCAAATTTGGGTGACGAGCCAGCGCTGACCAAATTTTGGGTAGTCATAAAATCGTCGCCCAAATTTGGGTAACGTCGTCGGCGACGCCGTGAGGTCCCCTCCCCGATGACGCTCTTCTGGGGCCACCACCACGACCGAATGGGGCGTTGAGGCCTCCGGTCATCGTGGTGGCCCCGGAAGGACGTCATCGGGAACCTCACGGCGTCGCCGACGGCGTTACCCAAATTTGGGCGACCAAACGCCTGTTACCAAATTTCAGGTGATGAATTTTTCGTCACCAAAATTTGGGCAATCACCCATTTAAAGGGTGATGGTGGTGACCAATTCATTCTCAGTGTTACTTGTCGACCATATTGGCATCAAAGGGCCCCGCCCCAAGGGGGTACTCTGTCAGCAAACTATTGGGGATGGCAATCCATAAACACCTGTGATACTATTTTCAAAAAACTCTAAAAGTTATCTTAGTGTTGCCCCAAAAATTGACTAAATGGGACCGATTTTGGTCCTGTGCGTTGAAATGTTTTCCCGGTGTCTGTCCTGCCACTCTGGAACCATTTCGAGGTAAACGTCAGCATTGCAAGAGTTGAGGCCTTGCTGTGTAATGCCTAAGTTCTTGTAATGCTGAAGTTCACCTCGAAATGGTTCCAGACACCCGCATAAATTTTTTTGACACTGTCAAATTCACCACTTCACACTGTGAGAAGGATTCCTCCGGCTGCGCGAACCTACCTTGGTGAGGTTCCAGTCCTGGTGCATCTGCAGCATCAGTGGGCAAAGCAAACTGCGTCTGGAGCCTGGAGCCGCCACCTGCAGTTGGCCCTTCCAGGTGGAGCAGGGCGAGTCCACCCGCAGCTGCAGCTGACACTTGGCCTGGAGGAGAGTGGTGGCGTCTTGCAGCAGCTGTTCCAGGCCCTCCTCCAGTGTAGGCTCCTCCAGGTCCCGACCCGCCACGGCTGCGTCACACAGCTCCCTCTCGGCCTCCTCGAAAAGCCGCAGCCTGCCGCGCCACTGCTCCAGCTGGGCCTCCAGCACGCCCTTGGCGTCCAGCAGGGCCTTCACCACCTCGCGCGCCGACTTCGCTGCTTTCTGCAGCCGCTGCACCTTCGGGGCCGCTTGGCCCAAACGCAGTTGGCGGAGGGAGCACACGGAGTGGCCCGAGTCCACGCAGTCCTCCGCAGCATCCTCGCTGCAGTCTCGACACCAGAACCTGCGCGACATACAATCCAATCCACATGACATGACCATCAAAAACTCTGACGGGCTACTGGCTGACCTAAAACTTTACTCACTGCGAACAGAGCTTGCGAACACATCAAATCACTACGTGCACTTTCAAGCTTATTAGAGCACAAAACCGTGCATTTTAAAACACATGCATTAATTCGTGAAAAGCTTCTGCGCAAACGGCATTTAGAAATTGGAGGCGGGAGCACCAAAAATACTGATTTAATGCCAAAATTTGATGGGGCAAAAGGTCTACCGTAAACCGGGGCTACTTTGACCCCCTGAGGTAACTTTGGCCCATGGGCTAGAAATTCGTTTATAGTGGTTCTTACTCCATCGGTATCATTTTTAGCAACTTGTTGGCCAAAGACCCCCGTGGACTTAGAAGCCCCGGTTTACGGTACACTGAAACTCGAAGGGTGATACATCTGACCAATTTTCGGTGGTACAAAAAGTATGACCGAAAAACGGTCATACTTAAATGTATGACCAAAAAAAGGTCAGACATCAGCGAGACTGGCTATTTTTTAGACTGGGGATATATCACCCTTTACCCATGGCCGTTTTTCGGTCATACATCAAAGTATGCCCTTTTTTTCGGTTTTAAAATTGCAGTATGACCCTTTTTCGATCGTACATTTCAGTAAGACCGTTTAAGGGGTCAAAAGTCTGACCTTTCTATTTTTATTAGTGTAAGTACACATGTCAATGAAGACGAAAATGTTGCAATGACACATCTAAATTCATCTCTACGGCAAAAAAATTTCAACGCTTCCCACTTGCTCTTGCTTAACAGGATTTTCACATGAAATGTAACTTGTTTGGAAGTCAGTGAAAGGGTATCTTCACTTCACTCACCCATTCGAGTGCCTTAATTTAAGAGGTTTTCGAAGCGGCACTTTTCCAAAATAAATTTAGCAAGTCCTTAATACCCTATGACTACAAAAAGATACAAATCCAGTGCATTTCATCCCTGAAATCAGAATCACCACCTTCTGTAGATTCGATTTGGTGATGCTTCTGGTTTTTGAGTCGACGACGACTTCACTCTATCCTTTAAGGGGGGGGACTGTGGTGGAACTTTCAAGTAGGTTACAAAATATTCCCAGTGAGTTGAAACTTTGCTTGGTTGTAAGGACCATAATGATGAGTTCCCAATACAAAATTTAATCCAAAATGTTGAACAGCCTCTAAGAGAAGTGCCACTTTTGTGTTTTTAAGGGCGTTAGGGAAAAATCTTCCTGCGTCTTTCATTGGGACCGAGAACCGAGAGTCTTGAAATTGTTTTTGGGTTATCCTAAAGATGTATGGAAGAGATTTTCGTGACAAAATTTTCAAATTCAACTTCCGTTCTGAGATACAAATTTTCAAATATTAACATTTCAAAACAGTGAGTTTTTTTTTGCCTATTTTTCAAACATTTTTGTAATTGAAAAATAATGCAGGGCTGATATCAAGATTTGTCGGCAAGTCATCAAAGAATAGAGTCCATGCAAGACGACTCATGTATGTGTCAACCAGGAGGAACGCAGGAAGTCTCTCTACGACAAAATATTTTGTCGACTGAGCAAAGCTGTGAAGTTGAGCGTATAAGGCAACGACAACTGATCTTGATGATATTACTTTCCAAATGATATAGAAACTACCCACTTAGCTTAAAGGTGTTCAACCTGTTGGATCTGAAACCTTCTATGCACATTTTTCATCAATGAACTTTGAAAATACTGTTTTGGGCAATTATGGCCATATTCCCACCAGAGTCCCTCCTTAAAACCCGCAGTGATCGGTTTGAAAGGCAGTGACTCTGCTATTTGTAGTGAGCGAAGAAATCTCTGTGAATTGCAACGTCATTGTTCTGAAGCTTCTTCGAAGTTTACGGCATTTTCACAACGGCACTCATGGTACTCACTTGGGATTTGAAGTGCTGCTACTCAGGTTGTTGGTTTCGGGACCCGAGAGCTCCTCCTTGACCGTCACCACTTCAGACTCCATCGACAGGCTGCAAAGTGTAACAAACAGCGCTGCAGTTTTTCTTACTTCCGGTCCAAAAAAAAACTTCGAAATACCTCCACAGGACAAGAAGAGAAAACTAGCGAAGGTAAGGAGCACACATAAGGTACCAAAGCGTTTGCAACCATACATACCTGTCCAATGAGGATTCTTCTTGCCGCTGAGACGGACTGCTTCCCTGCTTAGACCTCTTGCTGGCGTCTCCGGCAGGGCTCGGGGCCTCTCTTGGGGGGCATTCTACTGCAAGAGGCAACGTATTAAATAAGGGGTTCTACGGGCACTATGGCACTTCCACGCACAGTTAGCCATAAGTCCAACTACTGAACTTTTGTTCTTTTGATCCGTGCTCGATTACGTGACTTCATATGGAACCAGAACGGACGTTCTGAACTTTTTTTTTGGACTAGCGGACGAATTCAGTACGGACTGAAAGAGTCTAGTAACGCCCATGGAAAGGGCATAGATCAAGTACGCCCTTCCTGGACACTAAATTTTGATGTAGAATTTTGTACGTGTAATTTGCACGACTAGCACACTGCACACGCGGAATTTGCATTAACTTTTGGAGAAATATGCTTGAATGCATGCAAAGTAGAGCAGAATGTTATGTAAAACATTTCAAAGGTTAGATTTTTTACAGCACTACACTCTTACTTCGTAATACCTTCGTAATACGAAGCATTTCTTCGTAGAGTTTTTACTGTGTACGTACAAAATTTAACATGAAAATTCAGTGTGCTCACAAAGGCGTCAAAGCAGCATGGATTATGGGCCTAAAATTGCTGTCTAACCAGGGAGCATTAAAACTTAATAATGCCGATATGAATGGCCCAAGTTTTTGTGCCCCGAACGGGATACCGTCGCCGCATCCTCCACCCCCACTGTCGTTTCCGGACTGCTGCACCCACTGCAATTGCAAAGGCGATACTAAAGTACATTTTTTGGCGATACAATTGAGTATCGCCAAAAAACGGCCTTACGGAAAAGTATTGCCTTCAGAACGGCAATACACAGAAGTATCGCCAAAATTTGACGATACATTTGGGTATTGCCAAAACAACGGCATTAAACAAAGGTCTTGTCCCCCTTGATTTGTTCGACGTTCATTGCCGAATCGTGGCAATACTCCAAAGTATCGCCAAATTTTGGCAATACTTTTGTGTATCGCCGTTTTGAAGGCAATACTTTTCCGTAAGGCCGTTTATGGGCGATACTCAATTGTATCGCCAAAAAAGGTACTAAAAGTATTGCCGTTGGATTTGCAGTGCCGGAAGTGCGGGGTGCAGGCGACGGGGTGAACAGAGCCCTGTGCTGTATGGTCATGGTCTCGACGCTCGTGAATCACGTTATCCGAATGTTGGTGACGCCTCGTTGTGCCGCAGCGGCTACCCGAGACCGCCCCAACACGCTTCCACACAAAAGAGTGTTACGCAGCGTTGCATTCAAAACATCTTTCCAAGAAAGTTCCACGAGTACGAACCAAATCGTGTTAACATATCACAGTGAAAACCATGCGAAGAACCGCTTCGTAATACGAAGAAAATGAAGGCATTGTAAAAGCTAAGAAGAAATTCTTCGTATAATGAAGCAAAATCCTTCGTAACACTATACATTCTGACAACGCCGTCATTTTCTTCGTTGTTTTGAAGGATATGCTTCGTTGGCTATTAAGAGTGATTACGAACGCTTATATTCTTTCGTGATACGAAGGTGTTCTGAACTACGCATGCGTCAAATTCACTTTAACTTAGCTTAAGTTTCATTGCTAGACATTTACAGTATATAAGCAGTTACGATGGCCTATACCCGCCCCTCTTGCATACCCGCGAACTTGCTTTTAAGAACAGTTTGATGCCTGCGCTGGTTCGGCGGTTTCAAGCTTTTTCATTCCACGGAAACGACGTACTGTACCTCTGGGGATGGTTGTGTTAGCAGCAACGTTGCTAAACCCACGAGTTAAACGGACGTACACTGTTGCAGACGCTACGTCAAGCACACTGGAGACCTGTTGACTTCGCGAAGGATCTGCTCTGACTATGGAGCGGCCCACACAGTGTTGCCAGAAGCCGAACAGCGCTCGGTGGTACGGGGAGGGGGAAAAGGTGGTACTTCGGGGCTCTTCGGTGGTACGCGAGGGGTAGGGGAAAGGTGGTACATTGGAGCTGTATGGTGGTACGGAAAGGGGGGGGTGATAAAAATTTACGCTAGTCGTAAACATCGGGAATTTAGAATTTGGCCAAATTGAGAATTCTGAAGAAGTCAGCGGCGGCTTCTCCGGCTGGTGTACAAGCAAGCAGGCCCGTTTTGTTGCCCGCGTGCCTCGGGCGGGGCCCCAAAAATGGCACTGCACTTTCAGTTTCCCGCGCCCGACCTGTCCGACCAGAGCCCCCTTTTCCCTTTGGGAAAAGGTCACGAACGCAGGCAAAGGATTACATGTTCGGCTTCTGGGGGACGACAACCCGACCCAGGCGCCCGAAAAGTTCCATTTGCCTGCGTGCGGACCTAATCCGGTGTTTTCCCGGAAAAGGTGGTACGGAATCGCTCGGTGGTGGTACGGTGGTACGGGGCTCGAAATAGTGGTACATGTACCACCAAGGTGGTACGTCTGGCAACACTGGGCCCACAGCACAGCAGCGGCATGCGACGCGTGACGCAGGCTTGCCGGACTCCGCCGAGTAGAGAGCGCCCGAGTCGCGCGCCTTCGGGTCCGAGCGCGCCGAAGCCGGCAGCGCCCGGCGACACCCCGAGGCGCCCGAACGCGCCCAGGGGGATTCCCCGCAGGGGAGCGCCTTGGCACGCTCCTTTGCCTGGATTTGGCCGGCAAGGGACCCCTCTTCCGGGAAAGCCTGCCCAGGAAGGCGCGCCCGGTTCCAAGCCATTGCGGCCGAAGGCTCCCAGCGAGCGCCGAAGCCCACGATCGGCTCACAGCGGCATCGCGCAGGGCGTAAGCAGTCTTGCCAGACGTGGCCATTTTTCGGACGAAAGAGGCGATGGCAACGAAAACTTTTCGAGTAGCGATTGGCGACAGCAGTGGCGATCTGGCCCCCCGAGTGGCGATTTTCGAGACCCTCTCTGTAAGTGCGCACGCTTCACTGCTGGAGTAAAGCGGTGGATTTTCGCCCCGAGCGAGACTGGCACTGAACTGCAAGGCTCCCGGCACCGGCCGACCCACAGTGGGCCAGAACACTAGTGGAGGGGGTTGAAATTCTGGACGCGTTTCGAGCTCCAGAATCGCTCAACAGGATTCTAATCAAACGTGTGACCCCACCAGTGGATTTCCTCGTTCGGAGAGCAACATGCTCGGTTCCAATATGGTTAGCGACTGTGGAGCCCACAACGCGTCGAGAATTTCGGCCACCTTTACCGGTCTTCTGGCCCACAAACTGAAAAACCAAATGTGTCCTTCGAGCACAGGTGTGGGATTGTACTTAGAGGCACGCATTCATCTCACCCAATATTGAAAGCACACTCCTTTAGCTGTGAGCTTGTCCAAGCACACGTCTACAAATGTGTGCTTGTCAAGCACACTCCTGTAGATGCGTGCTTCAAAGTACACTTCCACAGCTGTTCTAAGCACACATGGACCTTGTAAGCTTTTATTTGTAAGAATAAAACAAGACATTCGTACACATGAATCAAGCCAGATCTTGCACAAGTGAGAATCGAAAAGACACTCCTAGGTAACTTTGAGGGAAGCTCATAAAAAAATCACACCGTTCAGTAGTTTCAAAAGGTTTTAATGTTTCGTAAAACAACAAACGAGAACCACGTCGTTAATGGAATCAAGGATCTTTGTTCACAATCGACTTCGACGCAATAACACTTCAACACCAACACCATGCAAACTGAACGTCAGGCTGTAGGAATTAAAGAGCTAACCAATCATGACAAACAAGAAGCTTTAACATAACTAACAACGCCACGAATCAAATAAAAATAAGACACAGCAGTCTGGTTCTCCGTCTCAGTAAACCAATAAGTAAGTCTAATTACGTCCGAAACAACGACATCTATACAGAACGCCATAAAATCACGTTAAATAAAATGAAGCTAAGAAAATATGATGAATCCTTCCAGGGGGTTTTGTATTACATACGAGAATTATCGTTCCATACACTATCGTTCTAGAAACGTGACATCACGTTTAAACGAATGTGACGAAGTGGCACGTCCCTTTGAGCGTCGCGTCTTATTCGGTTGGATGGGAATCAGCCATAAATAAGCTTATTCCCATTCAAACGAATGTGACACGATGCTCAAAGGAACGTGACACTTTGAAACATTCGTTTGAACGTGATTTCACGTTTCTGAAACCAAAGTGCACAAAAGAAACATCGACGTGCCCGATCGGATCCAGGACAAATCAGCATCACAGCCATGGCACCAGAACGTCAGGCGGGAGTAAATTAAAAAGTAAACAAGCGTGCCGAACACGAAACAATTTGCTCTGAAATTAAATAAAGGGATCGAAATGCCAGGCTTCTAAGTAAAATACAGAACAGAAAGACTCTCAATTGAGACGAAGCACTGGATTAATCGTCTTTCCAGGTGAAGTCTCCCAGAGGCGGAAATGTGGGGCACTTGTCACACTCCTGGCACATGACCTTCACTACCCTGACTGGCTTCTCCGAGTCCGTCGCCAAGAGTTTGTCCCAGATGGACTTCTTCTGCCGTTTGCACGACTCTGCCGCGTGGGGAAGCTTCTCGGCAGGGTAGCGTGGAGCGGGTCCACGCATCAGCACAACGCGCCGCAGCGCCACCAGCCCGCACTGGCGCAGCCCCTCGGCCAGGTCCTTGAAGTGCCACGGACCGTCTCCCTCCGAGGCGCACAGGATCCGCAGCTCCTGCAGTGTGGCGGCGTGGGCCTTGGCCAGGGACAGGACGGTGGAGGCCGGCTGGAGGTACACACTGAGCCACTGCAGGCCGCAGTGACCCGCGGGCAGAGGGGGGAACGCCACGTCGAGCGCACCGCGGGGGTGCCAGTTCAAGACGAGTTTACGCAGCCTGGGCATCCGCTGCACCGACTGGAGATGTTCTACTGAAAAGTTAAACACCTTCAGTTCCTGCAGTTGAAGCGGCATGTCTGGGGCGTTCTTGACAGAGGTCGTCAGATGGACGTATAAGCAGCGCAGCGCTGGCATGTCCCTGATCACATCAAGGTGTTCCCGAACGGCGTCCTCAAGCGAGAGCCACTCGACGTGCGGGGCAACGCGCTGCAGCAGCACTGTGCTCCAGTTCGGCTGCTCCATGCAGTACAGTCCGTCCAGCTTCCTCACCTGGAACACGCAAGCGCACTACGCGTTACCGCCTGCCACACGCTGTCGACAAGCTTAATGCTTCTGTCCACAATTGGTACGAGACGTTACATCACAGATAAACTTTTAGTACAAAACTGTCCATGGTTATTTCCACGACGCTAAAAGAAAGCGCAGATTTCCAAACAAATATCGCACGAAAAGTTCGCAAAGTAAAATGATCTATCTCGCACGAAATTGTACGTTGCGTGTAGCGCCACTCTCATCACGTTACTGACCTTTGCTCATTGTCGGTACTTATGCAAGTAATTGGTGCAACCATAATACGTTCTTTTCCTTTGTCAAATAACTACTTAGGAAATATTAATAAATAGACTGACAATTTATTTTTGTACATAATTTTACACAGGAAATTGGTCATGGTCATACTTACTTAGAAAATACTAAGTATTGTTGTTGCTAACACGATTACGTAATTAGTGAGAAAAAAGTCAGAAACGTACCGAGAGTGCAGGGCTTCCGCTGTTTGAGAAGGCTTAGGTTAACCGTGCATAGCTGCAAGTATAACCCTTGCCACAATAACCGAAAACACCCTCACCTTGTCCAGGCCTGGGTTCTGCAGGGCTTCGTCCAGCTCTTTGGTGTGCTCCTTTTGCATGCTTAGTTTCCCCACATGCATACACTCTTCGGGACGGAAGATCTGGAGGCAGTGCGAACACATTTAGAGGGCAAGACAATGAAATCGTATCTCAAGATTTCTAACTCAAGTATTCATAAAAAGTTACAAAGTCATTCTACTAACTTCCCAATATTTTCAAGCTGCACTCGCCAACCAAAATTTCAGGCCAAATAAAGTTGCCATTAAAAGATGGGCCTCTATCACGTGAGACACCCCCGTATAAATTTTGCGGCACTCGAAGCTGCCGAATTCTTAATTCACAGATGTGGGAAGGGTTCCAAAACGTACCTTGATAAGGTTCCAGTCCTGGTGCATCTGCAGCATCAGTGGGCAAAGCAAACTGCGTCTGGAGCCTGGAGCCGCCACCTGCAGTTGGCCCTTCCAGGTGGAGCAGGGCGAGTCCACCTGCAGCTGCAGCTGACACTTGGCCTGGAGGAGAGTGGTGGCGTCCTGCAGCAGCTGTTCCAGGCCCTCCTCCAGTGCAGGTTCCTCCAGGTCCCGACCCGCCACGGCTGCGTCACACAGCTCCCTCTCGGCCTCCTCGAAAAGCCGCAGCCTGCCGCGCCACTGCTCCAGCTGGGCCTCCAGCACGCCCTTGGCGTCCAGCAGGGCCTTCACCACCTCGCGCGCCGACTTCGCTGCTTTCTGCAGCCGCTGCACCTTCGGGGCCGCTTGGCCCAAACGCAGTTGGCGGAGGGAGCACACGGAGTGGCCCGAGTCCACGCAGTCCTCCCCAGCATCCTCGCTGCAGTCCCGGCACCAGAACCTGCGCAACATACAATCCACATGACATTACCATGACATACTCTGACGGGTTGCTGGCTGACCTGAAACTATACTCGCTACAAACAGGGCTCGCGCACACACAAAATCACTACGTGCACTTTGGAGCTTTTTAAAGCACAAAACCGTGCATTTTAAAACGCATTCCTTAATTCGTGAAAAGCTTCTGCGCAAAACGCCATTTAGAAATTGGGGTGGGAACAGCAAAAATACTGATTAAATGCCAAAATTTGATGAGGCAAAAGGTCTACCGTAAACCGGGGCTACTTTGACCCACTGAGGTAAGTTAACTTTGACCCATGGGCTAGAAATTCGTTTATAGTGGTTCTTACTCCATCGGTATCATTTTTAGCAACTCGCTGGCCCGTGGACTAAGAAGCCCCGGTTTACGGTACACTGAAACTCGAAGGGTGATACATCTGACCGATTTTCGGTGATACAAAAAGTATGACCGAGAAACGGTCATACACAAATGTATGACCGAAAAACGGTCATACTTTAATGTATGACCACAAAAAGGTCAGACATCAGCGAGACTGGCTATTGTTTAGCTTGGGGGAGTGTACGTCGATTGCGGACATACCTGGGGGGCTGTGCTCCTGGACTGTCGATTGCGGACAAAGAGGGAGAAACGGGAGATTTTGCGGGAAAAAAGGGAAATTGTCGATTGCGGACATCACCTAGTGTGTGCGTTGTGTTGCCTGCCTCCGCGGCGAGTGTTAGCCTTGCCTCCTCTCGGTCTGCCTGAGCAGTCTGTCTCCTGCTCACACCTGAGGGCTCGCCCAGTCAATCAGGCGAGGAACGAGTGTCATGTGCAGTGAACTGGACAGAGAAATGATCAAGTTCCGCGTGC